CTTGAACATGTTTTCCTTGATTTTGTTTTGTTTCTTTTTTGAACTCTCACTGTGTATCTGTGGCTGGCAAGGAATTTGCAACATAGACCAGGGTGGTATCACACTCACAGAGATCTGCCTGCCTCTGTCCCCAGAAAGCTGGAATTGTCAAGGGCATGCACCACCAGACCCAAATTCCTTAAGTTTTTAAAAATTCTAGAACAGATGTTATGTAGTACAATATACTGAAAGTATACAATGACGGCTGTAGTTTTGTGAGTTGGCCAACATCCAGTTAACTAGTGAACTTTGGAGATATAATATAGTTTATCTGGTTGCTGTGTTGGTGTTTTAAAAAAGTATCATTGGAAAATCACAATCCTCAGTACTATAAATTCTTTCTATGTCCATCCACCAAGAACAAGTGACCAAAGCCACAAACCAATTATCCTGTAGCCGAGATCTCTACCGTATGCCTCTGCTATTATTTGTATATTTAAAATGGCAAGAGAAACACACAAGAAATAATTTTGTTGTTGTTGTTACCACTCGGAGAGAAGGCGTTGCCTTGGATTTGTGCTCAAGTAAAATCGCTATTCACAGAAAATGAAAACATTCTTTTTTAAATTATTATTTTTAAGCGGCAATAGTTGGTCAACCAGCATTCTGTTATATCATTGGAGATGAAGATCAAGGTGCATTTGTTCTTTTAGAAGTAATCAATGACAGGGGTTTCTACCGGCAGGATCACAAGCACATGTTAAGCACACTTTCCTTAAGCACACGGTAGAAATCCTCTTCACCACCACCACCACACAATCTCTATCCAATCATGCAGCTCACCATACTATTCTTTGGAGCCATTAACAGGTATCTCTGTCTGTCTCTCTGACGATTTCTAGCTCCCTCTCCCCACTGGCCAACTGGGAGACATCGAATACTATTCCGGGTCTTGAAAACTCTCAAGGCACGTTAACATATTTTAGAATGTGAGAAGTCTTGCAGTTAGAGATAATCTGCTCAAATTTGCTTAACCCAGCATTTCCCAAAGTTAACTTTCTCAAGATTAACTATAGCGTTTCACACCCCTTCCATACAACCCCACCTCCAGACCCCCCATCCCTCAAAGCAACTTTGGGAACAGCTTGCAGAACTAGCTCCATAAAGCAAAGTTTGGGAACTCTACTTTAGTGGTTTCTATCCCCACAGATTTTGCTGTCTGAATAATATATAAGGAGTTTTGAGTGACAATTGCACCCATTTGAATATATCTTCAACTGACTCCAAAATTAGAAGTTTAAAATGCAAATTTTCAGAAAGCAAACTGTCTTTCCCATTTAGACATGTTGCTGAAATGTATTTGATTTTGTATAGGCTCTTATCACTTACCACCATATCTGCTATAGGTTATAGGATCAAAAGACTGATAAATATTGAACACAAATATGATTAGTTATGCTTAAATTTTATGCACATAGAGATCCCTGACAATCTTAATACGATGACTACATCCTTGATTTTGTTTGTTTTTTGGTATGTGCCTCTTAGGACAAGTGGGATAATGGAGATCTCTTCATTTATCCTCTGTGGAAGATGTGTATTGTGCACCTGTGTCAGTATGGGGGAAGACATGAAGCTCTTTCTATTGAGTCTCAGATATGGCAGCGGAGAATCTTCAAACATACTAGAAGTCCAACTTCACATCACATCTCTTAAATGAACTTCTTTACTTAGCTGCTTGGCTATGCATTAAATCTTGGCATACACAGAACAATAAAAACAGGGCAACTTACAAGATATATCTCTGTTGGCCGGATTATGAAGATTAGCTTCTTAGCTGATGTTCAAAGAAGTCATTGAATATAAGCACAATCAAAACATAAAACCCTGAAAACCATTTCAATATCAACAGGAAATGGAGCAGACAGGGTGTAGTCAAGACACCACTTTCTGCTACATAACATCAGTCCACATCACAAGGGATTACTCCATTTAATTCTCTAAGGAATGTGATAGAGTCTGGCTCTGAGAAAGACTTATCATCAGAAAATAATATAATTATTCTCCTGGCCAAAGTGTACCTGCAGAGTACACAAGTTTGATGCAATTTAAAATTTAGGTCACTGGTATCGAGGATATGTTGAAATGGGATTGAATTGGTTTTATTTTTTTCTTTTCTTTTTTAAAATAGATTCTTTTCTCACATAAAAATACATCCTGATTATAGTTTCTCCTCCTTCTACTCCCCCAAGTTCCTCCCCACCTCTTCTCCCATCCAATCCACTCCCTTTCTGCCTCTTCTGTCTCTCATTAGTATAGAACAGACTTCTAAGAGAAAACAACAAAACGTAACAAAGTAAAATGTAAGATAAAACAAAAATTATTACATCACAGTTGGACAAGACAAACCAACAGAAGGAAAAGAGCCCAAGAGAAGGCACAAGAATCAGAGACCTGCTCGTTCACACACTCAGGAGTCTCATAGAAACACTAACCTGGAAACCATAATATATACACAGAGGACCTGGTGTGGCCCTGTGCAGGCCCTGTGTGTGCTACTTCAGTCTCTGTGAGTCTATATAAGCTTTGCTCAGGCTTTAGGGGGCCTTGAGATTCTTACTAATTCTCTAGTATATTCTGACACTAGCTCCTAGAGAAAGCAAGGTCTCTCCCCTCAAAGCAGTCTATGTCTGTCTCCTGCTGCCTTGTCCATTCACAGTTCTCATCATTGCTAGAGGCTGAACCAAGAGCTGTGTTTGCTAAGTGTGGCAATGCCTCTCAGCTTCATACAAATCTTAGTTTGACTTCTGTTAGCATTCACTTTTCCTCCAAATGTGGTATGTATGCTACTGCCTCCACACAGTGATTTTAGATAACTTGGATACACTGTTCATGTTAATAAAAAAAGTGATTAATATAATAGAAATAAATCGTCATTTACTGAATATTCCCTTGTAGTGTCAAGCAAAAAAACAAATATATTAACTTGACTGGTCATAAGACCACTGTGTGCTGGATCTTACTATCTCCATTGAACAGAATGGGGACACTAGGAAGATAAATAACTTGCTCAAAATCATGTAGTAAGAAAAAGCCAAAAATTCAAGGACAAGAAGTTGAGCAGGGAACCCCACTTTTTCATTTTGTGGACACAGAATGCACAGGCTGGCTTTGAACTTGAAAGACTGCTTGACGCAGCTTTCTGAATATCTGGGAACCCAGGCATGTATTATAGTGCTCAGATGGACAACTTTTTAACTGAATTGTCTAAGTAAAATTTTAAGGACGATATGTCTGTGGATATAAAATACAATCATCTAATGGCTGGGGAAGGATATAGCACAGTTGGTAGAGCACTTACCTAGTAGGCAAAAAGCACAAGGTCCAATCCCAGCACCACATCAACTGGGTGCAGTAGCACCTGTCTGTAATCTTAGCATTCAGAAGGTGGAGGTAGGAAGATCAGAAGTTTAAGGTCATTCTTGGCTACAGAGCAAGTGTGAGGCCAGCCTGAACTTCACATTCCATCTCAAAAAAATAAATAAAATAAAATAAATGCAATAAAATAAAGCCATTCAAATTGTATGCAAATGTCTGGAGAACTGGTAATGGTCCTAGAACGTGTGTGTGTGTGTGTGTGTGTGTGTGTGTGTGTGTGTGTGTGTGTGTGTGTGTATGTATGTCTGCCTGTCTTGTGTGTATAACTCAAGATTAAGACTACATGAGCTCTCAAGATGACAGTCAACAGGCAGAAACTCAGGTCAAGCACAGCTGTCACCCCTCCAGAGATGAACAGCCCTGACTTTCAACTTACCTGTTTCTCATTTTGCTCCGAAAATTGTCTTGATCAGGTGGGATCTTCCTAATTTTGCACATTTTTTAGACATACAGTCATATTTCTATGGAAATATAAATAATTCAAATAATTCTGAGAAGAAAGGCCTCAATTACTGTATATTACAATTTGAGGGAAAAAAAAAACACTTAAACTTAAGAAAGAAGCTGACAGTTGGATCCTAAGCATTACAGCAAGTTTCTGGTGTCTTCTCCTGAGGTTTAAACAGATACTTTCTTTTAAGGGCAGAAGTTTAAGGTCTGGCTGGGGAATAAAGACCCGTTCTGTCTGACACTTCCCAATTGAAATCTAACATTTATCAAATGATTCATAAGTACTGTATTTTGTAAAAAGGAGCTGGCGGGTTGGGTATATTAAGCATTCATTATTATAAATTTGTATTTTAAAAACCCAGGATCTTTTCAGTAAATATGCAAAGGTTTCTCTGACAATTTCTCTCCTTTTTAATAAAGCCACCGCTCACTGAAATATTTTACATAAACCCCTTATATCTAAAATGGATTCCCGGCATCTGGGAGTTCAAAGTCTCCCCAAATTCAGAATGGGGGAAATGCTACATAATTACATCCCATTGGAGAGTAAGTCATAAAGTAATCAAAAATGTTTCGAACCAAAAAAGTACCACCTTGGAGTGACATTTAAACTAAACAAAGCGCTGTTAGCAATTATATTTTCCTAGTAATTTCTTCTTCATGAGATGAGAGGAAAAGTGTGCTGCCATTGCTTTGAGAAGGTATACGTCAGTCAAAATGGGCACTAACCAGACACAAGTGGCCAACAAGATGTGAAAAACCAAATGCTTTAATGAGGCTATGAAGAACAACAGTTCAATTATTTCATTGGATACATTAATATCAATCATAATGTACAGTGCTGTGGACATACAGAAAGGATTGCCACACCCAACAGCAGGGGCTGTTATTGACGTTACAGTAGCAAGTGTTCGCAAGAGACAGTCATTTGTTGTCGTTGTCAAGAAGTCGGGATGCTGTTTATACTGTTATCAACTTCTCCCCAGTGCATTTTTCAAAAATATTAATAAGTGCATTCCTTTGTGCTTTGTATCTTTCAATGTCCTGTGTATTTCATTTGTTCTTATTGCTTTATTGTTTATAAACAACCAGACTGAACTGTGTCATGATCTGGGTATGACAAGATTGGTTGAGTAGTTTTTGTTGTTGTTGTTTTTTGGCAAAGTTAGAAGGTTTGGTATTTCCATTATGTTACCCAGAGGATGGTAGATAATTTTGGTATATTGAGCACTCCAAACGGAGGTACAACCCTGAGTCACAATTCTGCACCCAGGGGTGGGGGAGTGGCATGGATCTTTCTTTCCTTAAGAACAGTGAGCAAAAATACTGCCTCTTAGCTTAACCGGTCCCTGAAAGAATCCACATTCTCGCTGGCACAAAAGAAATAAATAAAACCACCCCCCCGTGGCAGCCTCCAAATTGCTTGCCTGCCTCTCCCAGAGGCTGTGTCTTCTGACGAAGGCGCTAGGGAAGGCTGTGATGACAAGCCCACGAGGTTACAAATCAGGGGGGCGGTGCAATATGCCATACTTTCTCCCAACAAAGCTTTCTAGAAAGTCGCTCTGCCTTGGCCATAGTCACTCAGCCGTGGGTTAGTCAACCTTGTGAAACCTTGTTCAATTATTTAAAAAGAAAAAAAAATGTCAGAATCAACTAAGAAAAACTAGAATCATAGCATTGCGATCTTCAATTTCTGCATCCAGCCCTCCCTCCCCCCGCCACAAATATGAAGAGAAAAACAGACAATGCTATGATTGTATTGGTGAACACTATGGTACAATTATCTGTTCATGCACATTTGCATTTCTATTCTAGGAAAAGTCACACACTTAAGGAGGTTGAAAGAATGGGAACTTATTTTCCCTACCCCCTTAAGTAATAAAGCTACAAGACTGTATAGCATCATCAGTGTTTCCAAGGATTTGCACTACCCAACATGCATGGGAACCGCACACTTGACAATTCTCACCAAAGCCATCCATTCATCCATCTGACAATCACTCCTCCTGGATCTCTCCATCACCCATCACCAATTCACATTTGACGTTTAAACACTTTAAAAAAAAAAGAAGAAGAAAAAAACCTTCCTGAAAAAGGTTTTCTGATGAAAGAATTTGGCACTGTCAGTAAAATATATTTCATATTAAAAATATCTGAAGGGAAATTGGAAGCTCTTAGAATGTCTACAGAGGCACCATGCTACATCTTCTCTCTTCACTCCAGATACCATCTTGAAACTTTCTTACTTTACAGATCAGTCAGTGCTGGTCCAAAAAAGACGGCGGAGATATTTAAGGCACTTCATTCTGAAAGGATATGCTTTATGCCACTCACTATCCAATCATAGGTTGCTACTGAGAAATTCCATTCAGCAGCCTGGCATGTAACACTATATATCATCTGTATAAAACATATAGACTTGATACGTGTAACTCTACAGTTATTGCATAGGGCTACGCAAGTAGGTAATGCACAGAAACTAACTTTACAATGTTGCCACTTCGTTTAAACATTGTTATCAAGTAATTTGCCAATACAGTATTTCCCTCTTTAAAAAGAATCCAGCCAGTTTACTGAAATAAATCTCAATTTAAATGACCACTGTGGGCATAGTAAATGCTGTGGTTATCAGTCTTCAAGAATATAGTTATTTTCATATCCTAGAAATGCATAAGTAAGTATTTTTTTCTAGAAAGCCTGGTTTTTAACCTATTAATACTATACCTTAAATGTGTTGAAAAACAGTTTCAAGTGATACTGGGATATACAAAATATTTGCAAAGCTCTCTTTGAACACAAGACTTGCGTAAAAGTAGTCTTTCATGGTGTACAAAGAATGCCGAGAACTACCAGTGAGTTGTAAAAATATCGAAAACTCACCATTTCAAGATGCATATTCTTACAAATTAATACAAACATTGAAAAAAAGGATGATAATAAAGAATCTATACCATCAAAATGACTAAAACATAATTTAAAAATAAAAATAGTAAAGCCAATTAGAAATGCGCCCAGTTCGGCTCTTTATCAAAAGCAAAAATGAAAAAGAAAAATGAAGCAAACTTCCGGTGCTCCTTGATATTTTTCTCAGAGAGGACATTCATTTTCATTTCAAAATAAAACACATCTTATGAAAAATTGAATCACACTTATTTATGAGGAAAACTGTAACTGCGCCCAATAAAAGCCAGAAAGGTTAGGTCCTATGTTCCATGCCTCGGTCTAATATCGCCCTTCAGTTTGGGTTAGCATAAGTTACATTTTCTAACCAGACAATCCTCATGAAAATGACTGATATATTTGTCTTTATGGAAGGTATCTTCTTTTGAGTAGTTTTCAGTACAAAGATAACTGCTACTGGGAGGACCCTGTGTCTTTAAGGCAGTACCAGAGAATCAATGCATTTATGACGTGGAGAGGGCTTGGATGTCTTTTCCACTTTTTTTTCTTTTTATCATCATCATCTTCGTTTTCTTCTTTTGGTTTCTTTACATTCATGTAATTAAACTTTACATGTTAGTTTCCAAGGAGGTCACAGACAGACAAAGCTCACACCAAGTTTAGTTTTCCCCTGAATGAAAACGGACAGACACTTCTCTGAAGCAAATGTCCCCTTGCTCAGAAAGCTCACACTTCGAGAAATCAGTTCACAGATACTGCACGCTGATGGTACAATACTTTGGAGGCCTTTGCAGTTGTAAAATAGAATATACAAGTCTGGCTCACAAAATTCTAAAAATAAAATATATCCTGGGCTACTGATAAAGCATGAAAAATTCATATTAAAGGAAAATTATCAAGAAAATCTCTTCAGGTAAGTTATGGAGTCTACTGAAGAAGAGAGGAAGCAGTTTGCGCAGAGGCAGAGCAGGGTGGGCTCGCTAACACGCATGCTCCGTTTCTTCTGCACTCATACTGCTCCTCCGGCTGCTCGTTTTAGAAGCTCCTGGGGACACTGACGACAGCAGCGGGTCGGTGACGCCAACTGGCGAGAGGGCATCGTCCATCAGGATGTCTTCCAAGTTGGAGCCCATCTTCCTGGGGATGCTATAGGCCGGGCTGCTCTCCGGCATGGTGCCAAGGTTGTTGGTGAAGGTGATGGTACCGTCCGTGAGATCCAGGGTCGTTGTACACGTCAGGTCTGCCTGGTGCTGGACAAGTTCCTGGCTGCAGTTCTCAAGAACCGGCTCTTGCTTGATGATGCGGTTCACCAGATCAGGCGAGCAGAGACCAGTGGATGGGATAAGGGAAAGTCCATGTGCTCTAGCCTGCATCTCAAGCTCCTGCAGAAAGGTCAAAGTCGGACAGTTAAGTAGGCGCATGTGCACGGCCAACTTCCACTGCACAGAAGTTGTGCAGGTGGGTGTTATGCGCAGTTGTCCAAACCCATGGAATATGCGTTACCGTGGGTGTCTCTACCCAAGGCTTTGGAGGGTAAGGAGGAGCCAGCTCTAACAAAGGGGCCACTGTGGTGCCCATGTTGATGATCAGAGGGACCGCATGGTCAGGTGATGTGTGGAGCTGTCTGGGGTTTGCATTCTACTGTACTGTACGGCTCCTGAGACTGCTTTTAATAACTGAAGTCTATTTTCTATTTTTAAAAAATCAGAACCTAGAGACAACTTGTATAAATTGTTAAAGTTTGCTGCTTGTAAAAAAACAAATTCTGCACTTCCCGAAATACAGGACAGGTGGCATTTGTTGTATAGAAAATATCCTTTTACATGGTATTATGTATTTTATTATGAATTACAAATAGAACCACTCTCTTGCAGATATTAAGGATTAAAACAAGGCTATGCACCCAGGTCAGACTGGCCATAGTCCAAAAAACAGAACCAAACCCACCTGCAGCAAATGTTGGCAAAGGTGTGGGGAGACAGGGACCCTTACACATTGCTGGTGGGAAAGTAACTGGTGCAGCTGCTGTAGCAGTCGATGTGGAGAACTAAAACAGAACGACCCCATGGCCCGCACCACACCCTCGGGCACGTTCCTGAAGGACTATGTGTTGTCAGCACAACCCAGAGATACTTGGGCTGCTCACAATGGTCAAGATGCAGTCAGCCTAGGTGTTCATCAGCAGATGAACTGCTAAAGAAAATGGGACACACCTACACAATAGAGCTTTATTCGGCTCTGAAGAAACACCGAAATCATTTTCAGGAAAATGAATGCACCTGGAGATCACTGAGAGAAATAAAATAAGCCAGACTGTGTTTTCTCTCAAGGGTAGAATCTAGGTTTCTTAAAGCTTATATGTATGCGTAAGACACTGGGTAAAAGGGGCACTCCAGGGTAGGGAAAACAGCACCAATGGAAGGCGACTGGGTGGAACAAGAGAGGGTAACGGGTATGGTCTATGATTCACATGTATGAAAATGTTACAAGGAAACTCATCTTTTTTTACAAGGCAGATATGTTAATAAAGGAATAAAATGAGAACTAACAGAAATATAATACCGAGTAAATTGTAATACAAGGTCATATAAACTGCTTGGGAGATAGCTTAAGATTTCAAGGAAAATGGTGGCACTCTCTCAACAACTACCCAAATCCCAGACGGTAGCCCGATTTAGCATGAGGGTGCTACACACTTTTCAGTGCCCAGTTTTAGCGTAAGTGTGCCACAAACTTTTCAATCCCCATTTTCAGTGTGAGTGTGCTCCATCATTTTCAGTCCCCAGTTTCAGGGCAAGTGTGCTACCCACATTTCAGTCCTCAGTTTCAGCGGTTCCCACTTTCAGGGTGAGCCTGCACATACACACTTTTTGGTTGCCTCACGGCACTTCCACATAGGTTTCTGGAGAGGCTGGAGTGAGTGACATGGACTTCATGAGCACTGACATGGAATGGGAGGCAAGCAAGGGTGGTTTACCATCTAACCCAAGGTTTCCATGAATTGTACAATCTCTAGAAGCACTGTGTATTAGTAACCACCAGAGTTAGGGGTGGGTGGGGTCCTAAAAAAAATCAAACAACATGCTTGTTTTTCAGTTATCTGCATTTCCTTCAAACTGTTACCAAGCTGTTAAGATGTAAGTACTCAATTGTTTGGGTGTAACAGAAACAGCAGCTATTTCTTCTGGGTTCTGGTTACTAAGACACCAATGGTGCCATGAAGTAAACACTCTTCATGTTCCACACAAGCCACCAGAGCTTGGTGAAATCTAACCCATCTCACCCTGGCAAAGGGAAACCTTTATTTTTGAATTCAGCGGGAAAGTTCTCATCTATAACATGACTGATAATGAGCTGTGCTTTCTTACAATGGGCTGAACCTTGCTTCTAAATCCGTACACTGAAGTCCTAACTCTAGTTCCTCAAACTGTGCGAAGATTGGCACACAGGATCTTAAGAGAGGAGGTTAAGATAAAATGAAGCCAATCCTGCTGGCAAGGTTGGTCTCTGACATCCTCCAAAACAGTGAGCAAGCTAATGCCTGCTACTTAACCTCCCCTGCTCAGTGGCCTTTTGCACAGTGGCACTAGCCGACTGACACACTATGTAAGTCTGTGACTTCTCAGACCTCATTTCAAGGCACCTTCAATCCATGCTCCCCTCTTACATATTCCTAGAATGAACAGCAGGGACCCCCAATTCTTCTTCCACATGTGAATGCTGTCCTATATTTGTGACAAAATAAAGTGGAGATGGGAAGTGTGTCCTTTGAAATCATGAGAGGAAAGGGACTTTGCACATGACATGGCCTCTCAACTTGGCCCACATGTGTGGGGAAAGCTATGATTGGTCTGTGTTAAAACTGTCGGATCTGTGAGCTCCTACTCAGGAAGCAGTATGAATGAGGGATGCTTGAGTATGAGATGCCACAAGAGTGTCTGCCTGCTCCTTCAGACCAGCTCTGGAAACAAGTCTCTCCAGGTATCATGCTGAAGCCCAAGGCATCATGCTGAAGCCCTGGGCTATCTAAGAAAACAATTCTCCTGATAATAAGGCCCCTGCTCTTTCTTCCATGAAGATTTCTGCATGCATCACTTGGAGTCAAACTGAAGGGAAGTCCCCAGGCCTTGGCCAAACAAACCCAGGCCCTTGAAACTCTACACCGGCATGAAGAACAGGAGTGCAGCTTTTCAAAAAAACAAGCAAATAAATTACCTCAGGGAGAAGCAAACATCATACTGTACTCCTTTGTTGTTTAACTAAAAGTGTGTATCAACAGATTAAAACAGTTACTTCAGTTTCTAAATGAGGCGTTAAATCTCATGCAGAGCCCTGAGGCTTTGTGGTGCTGCAGAGCTTGCCTAATTAATGATTTTCCCTATGACAAGTAAAAGCGGTAAAGCCAGCCTCACTACCAGCAGGAGAAGGCTGAGACGACATTGCATGGAATTGCCAAGGTCCATATTCCACACCATTCATATTTAACATGAATATGCAAGTTTGGAGCCTGAACACAAAACAAAACTGAGCTTCTCTTTGGGAAAACTTACTATATTTTAATAATTTAACAAGGGAGTATCATAAGCTACCTTTATAAATAGGTACCCAAGCACCAGGTATGTAAATACCTAAGGCCGTTTTATAGAAGAGAGGCAAAGTTAAACAAATAACAAATTAGAGGAGGGAAGGCGGGAGAAAGATGTTCCAATTACATCTAGCCTCTGTTTAGCCTTCTGGATTATAAAGGCCAGCCTTAGGGGAGTGCTACCTTCTGCCTCTTGGCTCCGTGACTGAGGATCAGCATAGGTGTTATCTTGAGGGGAAATGTGAAGTGTTGGGGGGTCCTGGAAGATGGGTGTTCAATGTTCATGATGTCCACACTCAAGCAGAAAGCAATGCAGAGTCATTTACACTGAACACCATCCAGGAGTACTAACTACTGGCTGGGTGAAGCTTGTCTGATACCCAGACAGCACATCATAACCTTCTTGGCCTTAGGAAGCGTATACACGTTTTTAATGATGCTTGGGGGCCACGGTAAGATGAAAAATCCCCCACAAAACTCACAACACTGTGGAAGACAAGACAATTAGGCTGTAACTCAGAGGACTGCTACAAAAAGCCCTGGACCTGGGTGGAGCTCAGCCTTGTGGAAAAGAGCCTGCAGGCAACTCGAATTTGCCACTCTGCACATGCCCAGGAGCGACTGTGAAAGTGGCAGCAGCATTGATTTTGAAATTTTGAGTTACCAATAATGTTTTACCAGTAGGTAAGTTCACAAATATTAAGACTGTGTCTCCAGCTCCTGCAGGGATCCCTACATTCTCCTTCCTCTTGTCCTGAAATTACTTTACATAGCACAGGGCAGGTACCTGTACTCTGAGCAGCAGGTGCCGGTTAGCATGCTCCAGCTTCTTCTGTCGGTTTTCAAGGTCCTTTGCACGTTGCTGTTCCCGTTGCAACTTTCGGATGTAGTCCACGGAGGCCTTTAGAATGGTTCCCTTGTTCCACCTCATGTCCCTGTGATGAGGCGAGGACAACGGACCCTTTTAGGAATTGGGGTTCAAAGAAAATCAGCAATGTCTATCTGGAATCATAATTGTACGTAAGTAATGGCTAGTACTCATTAAGTGCTCGCCACTGACTGGCCACTGGCCACCCATCTGGTGTGTGTCATCTTACTTTCTCCAGATGTATTCCTTTTATAAGGTGGACACATTGTGCAGATGTTGAAACCAGTACAGTACAATTCCATCTAGATCACATACGTCTCACTAGGTGAAATCGGTTATTTAATTCATGTGTGCTGTGTGGGTTACCAAATCTTATTTGTAAACTGTCTTCAACAATAGCATATATCTGAGACCAAAAAGATTTACTCACTGGGACATGATAAGAACAAGTCCTGTGAGATCCCACCACTTGTCCGTGGTGTGAAAACACCACTCTTGGATTTTTGATTTATTTGTTTTGTTTTTCAAGACAGGGTTTTTCTGTGTAGCCTTGGCTGTCCTAGGACTTGCTCTGTAGACCAGGCTCGCCTCTAACTCACAGAGATCCTTCTGCCTCTGCCTTCTGAGTAATGGGATTAAAGGCATGTGCCACCACTGCCTGGCTCACTCTTAAATTTTCATCATAATTATCATGGGCAGTCAGTCAACTAACCTTTCTCTGTACCCATTTTCTCATCTGCAAAATGATGACACTACATGTGTATGAGTAAGCAGCCTTGTAAGTGCATAAGTGGAATCAAAGGAGATGCTTTGTATGAACTTGAGAATACTAGTCAGTACTGGAACAGGGGCTGTATCAGCACAGTAACTGCACTCCATGGTTTGATACCCAGTGAGATGCTGCCCTGGAATCCCAATCTCAACAGCTGCCAACAGGTGTGACTTTCAGTTCATCACTGGAGCTCAGTGTACTCGTGTAAGAAAATTATCATCATCAGTGAAATGTGGACAAAAGCCACGCTGCTTAGATCTTTGTCAACTCAACATGAGCTAGGGTTGTCTGGGAAGAGGAAATATCAACTGAGAAAATGCCTCCATCAGACTGGCCTGCAGACAACAAGTTTTTGGGGGCATTTTTTGATTAATGATGGATGTGGGAGGGCCCAGACTATTGTGGGATATGACATTCCTATGAAGGTGGTCCTCGAAAATGTAAGAAAACACGTCGAGCAAGTTAAGTAGAGCAAGCCAGTAAGCAGCATTTCTGTATGCCTCTGCTTCAGTTCCTGCTTCCAGATTTCTGCCTTGAGTTCCTTCAGTAATGGACTATGATTGGAACATGAAATCTAAACAAAACCCTTCCTTTCCAAGATGCTTTTGGTCAGTGTTTTACCACAGCAATGAAAAGAAACTAGGACAAAGTCACTCTAAAAAATCTTAGAGTTCCCCGGAACAAACAACGAAGACTGAACTCTATTTATTATGGAAGTAATCTTTCCAATCTTTCCTTGTAGATAACCTTCAACACAGTGATGACAATGAGGATGATAAAAGGAAAATCCAGTTGATGTAAATAGAACCGTCAACCCCATGACCTACAGCTACTAAGAGCAGATCAGAAGCATCACATGGAGTAGATGAGTGACAGGCCATTAAAACAAGCCACCTAGTAACTGATCCTTACATGGGTTGGCTGAGGGAAAAAAAAAAAAAACAGGCTTTCTCCAAAGAGGACAGTCACAGCTCCCAGAAGTCCCTAGGGTAGGTCTCCAGTGTCTGAACACCAAAAATGGCAATCCAGAGGTGTCCCAAGATACCCAGAGTGAACACAGGGACCAACTCTCAAGGCTAAAAATCAAAGCATCAAAAGCTGCAGCAGCCAGCAGAAACACAACTGTAATGGATGCTGCCTGATACAGGCCACCAAGGTGAAAAGTCAGAGCCAGGTTTTTCAAGCCAAGCCAATCAGTTCTCAAGAAGTATATCTATCAGTTATCCTTATTAGTCTCAATCAATTATGTTTCTTGGCTTAAAAGGATTCAAATATTGGGTTTTGGGTAATTAAAGGAATCCTTTTCCATGTACAAGTATATATGTTTCCCAAATATATAAAATCAACCAAAGCTTACTTATTTGAGGGGAGGAGTGGGCATGTGCTGGGACACTAATCAGGCAAAGTCTGTCTCTATTTCAGTTCCAAGGCACACTCTAGAGACCTGGTTTCGGAAAACCACTATCCATGTTACAGTCTGTTTTATATGAAGACAGTGTCTACCATGCAAGTTCCCTGTCCTCTCAGGCTACAAACATGTAAGCATTCTACTACAATGGAGGAGACATGCAAATCCAAGCTTACACCGGGGCCCCATAATTTCATAATCTGTTACTGAAGGGATTTGCACGCTTACAATTTAAAAAGAATATGCTAAAAAATGGAAAGCTGATAAAGAACAGGAAATGGGAATTCAATTTCAACTATCATGCAAGACTGACTACAGGAAATGAAGGTCACAGCCTTTAGGAGGATAAATTTGTGCTGCACAACTGAGAATCTGGATGCTTCCAGTTTGAAAATGCCTCTCCTTGAAGCCTGGGAAAGCAAAGTGTTAGAAGACAGAAACTGCGCACATTCATCAAAACCACCTCACAATAGGTAACGGTTTTATTTTATTTTGCTACAAATTCCCCGACAATAATGTGAATCGTGAATTTAATAAGCCTTGCATGAATAATGCTTGATTGCGTCTTTACTTTTTATTAGATAGCTAAAAGGTCATATTCAAAGGCTAATTTCATAGAATGCCTGTGGGGGCCATTAAAATATATACCTCCCCCAGCCCTTTACCTCAAATGGGCCAATTTCTAATGGATAAAAATTGTATATTTGTTGACCAGTGTGCTGACGTGGCAGATAACGGGGTAGAAAAGACTTGAAAATTATCTGTTAACTGTTATCTCCCAGAGAGGAGGCGGGGGAAGACCAAAGGCTGAACTACAGATCAGCTGACTTGTAGTTCATAAGAGGATTAACCATTGCTTTTTTACCCTAAATCGGTAAAACACACAAAGAATATGCAAGTTTTCATAAAAAAAAACAATTGACCTTTTGTCTTTCCAGTATCTTTGAACATGACATTTCCAGGATCTGCACACCAGTGCCCATTTAGAGATGCTACACAGTGGAGGTTCATACACGGCACACATCTTGCCTGAACAACTACTGGGATCTTGTATGCATGACCATTAAAGATGGCTCCCCACCCCATCCCCCATGCCCCAGGTTCAAAATTTTCTGCTGAGTTCTCAGATTCCCATACGTCCCATTCCTCACATTCAAAGCTAACTGTCTCAGCTCTGATATCCCTTTGTACAATTCAGTTCATTTCTCTAGAAATTTTAATTTGGGAAAAAAAAAAAGCAAATGCTTAGAAAAGGTAGCAGAGGGCGAAGGGAGAGTTCTTTAATTTCTTTAAGAGCGCATTTTGCAACATAGGAGAAAAACGGAAAGGTGTGAAAATATATGATGCAGATTAACATGCAATTGTACTCACGGATCATTTGACTTGGGAATCAAAGTACCTAGTTCTTTAATGCGGTCATTTATGTTAAATCTTCTTCTTCGTTCAACTTCAAGGAAAGAGCATGGGAAAGGGCCATTAGTAGCAGCAGCACACACACATTCAGCACATCTCATTAAAGGCATGTGCACACTGACTGCACCAGTCAGGACAATGTAAACTCGAACCTACTTCCCCTGTGCTTATCTTACTTTTGGGTACTAGAGGTAATGAACTTTAAGAGGAAACGAGCTGCCTTCAGAGTGCTCTCATTTATAAAGCTCTTAGATATGCAGTTTCCCACTCAACTCTGTAATAACCCTGAAAATCTGGGCTGCATCCTCAGCTACACGTCAAAATTAGACAGATCTGCATTGTACTTGTTTAACTAAAGAGAGAGCAAATTTTTACTGCCAAAATGTGCACAGATCTGTAATGACACAATTAAAAATACAGCAACACCAACTTACCATAAGTTGGGCAGCACACACCTGCTCTTGCACAGCAGCAGAATTACTTTTAATGGTGAAATTTGAATTTTACGTAATTTTTACTGATCACAAGATATCACTCTGATTTTGGTTTCCCTTTAGCATTTAAAATAGCAAAATGTTTGTTTTTGCTCATGAGATATACAAAAACTCCTCCTCTAGCCCAGGACTGACAAAAATAAATACACAGGTTACATATGTAATTTTAGATTCCTTAGTGGCCATGTTAAACTAGTTAAAAAAATCAATTAACTCTAATATTTCAATAAATCCATTCTCTATAAGCCATCATCATTTTGGCAGGTAATAAATACTAAAAAATTAAATTAGAAGGTGCTCATTCTTTTCTTCACACTAAGCTTTTGAAATTAAAATATTTTACACTTCAGCCAATATTTTTGTGTGGTCCGGGGGATCAATCGCAGGGCTTTGTATGTGCTAGGCAAGTGTTTTACCAACCCAGCTGCCAGGCCAGTGCAGCCCAATTTGAACTAACCATAATTCAGATGCTCAGGCATTAAATGGCAAGTAACTACCATACTGGACAACACGCATCATTTAGCTACACTGTGCATCCCGAGAGCATCCCCATCCTGTAATCTGTGTGCACCAGGGCCATCACTCTCAGGGGACAATGACCTTGTAAGATAATAAAGGTTTTTAATTTTACCTAATCTAGCAAATAAATCCCAAGTAAGTTTTAAGCAGAGGGAGGGATTCTTCAAAATCCTGAGTGAGGTTATGTCAACCTTTAACCCTACCCCACCCCCTCACTTCCCATTTTATCCAAGGAAAAGTCAAGTCCTTGAGGTATCCTACAAGTATCCGGTGGGCCCTGCACTGCTGATAGCGCTTTCTGCTTCTCCTCCAGTGTGGCAGCATCTTCTTTGGCAACTCATCTGTGTTCTTTCTGCTTTGTCCCCACTGACTCTGCTACTCGCACAACCAAGCCAGACATGCATTAGCCACATTCATATGTTATCCCCTTTGCCTAGAATACTCTTTCTCCAGATCCCTAAAGAGCCATTTCCTTCTGTAAGTAGCAACTCAAATTTACCGATATGAGTTCCCAGGTTAGCCTATTCAAAATGACCCACTATCCCCATGCCTACAATGATACTATATTCACTGGACTCTGTTTCATCTTCTCAGAGAACTCTGAATCCAATACTTCTTATTCATCTATTAATTTTCACTGTTGCATTCCAAGTACTCACACGAGCCTGGCACATAAGCATAACAAAAGCATCTTCACAGTAGGGTTACACTAAAACATTCTGTACCTGCCTTTTTTCACTCCCCTGCACACCTCTGGGCTCTTCCATGTCAACATTCGGAGATGCCACATTTACCTTTCATGTAGGAGTTTCCTCTTCAGCTATTTATTATAATAGTGATATAACTTTATAAAACTTCTCTTAAAACACCCTACAGCGTGTTCAGGTAAAGGTTAAAGAAACCCTTAGTATTCCCCAGCATCTACATGCCTGGCACAACTATCACAGACAGGCTGGTTTCTAGATCTTGTCCTCTGTTCCCACACATCCAATAGGCGCATCCCTCCTGTGTGCTTCCTTTCATAATGGGGCGTGATATCTATCGCCAGCCCTCTTGTTCCTCTCAGTAATTAGTATGTGGCACCTGACAGCTGACTTGAATGTGCCTACTGGCAGGGAACCTGTTTGTCCAGTTCACTCCTATAGAAAAGTTCCTTGTATCAAACTGGCACTCAATAACTTGAAATGGCTGAAAGAATGACTGAATACATTAAGGCATTCATGTGCACATTTCAGCAAGTATTTTCGTAAGCTAAGTCCTAGAAAGAGAGGGCTGAGTCAAGGTCAACAGGACCCCGAGCATTAATTCCCGGGAGTTAGACAAGACTTCAAAACTGTTTTACAGCGCTCCAGCTTGGAGCTGATCCCATTTGCAATTTACTGACAACCTGGAACAAGAAGGCCCTGGTGGGGACTCGAACACAAATACCATTTTTGACAGGATTCAACTTCATTTCCTAGGTCTCAGTTATGGGTCCTTCAGATACCACATCATTATTTTATTTCTAGGGGGTTTTAAGGAAAGGATTGTCTTTGGAGTAAAATTGTATGGAATCTGGGGGAAATTTTTAAGCTGTGAGCTCAGCTCTTGCGTTTAAAAATGACAAAACCTTCTGAAACTGAACTCAAAAATGAGGAAAGCAGCAGCGATGTGCGTAGGTTCACAGGGCATGGGGCTTCACCAGGGCGTTTCTCAGCACTCAGAACAGAGAAGTAAACCCTGTGTGCACAGGAGGACCACATAACGTGTTCCCAGGACAACGGATTTGAGAAAGTTAGCAACAACACAAAAACACATTGGGGAATAGCTAAGAGCAGACTCACAGTGTAGAATAAATACTATGTGGCAGTATTGAGGAAACTAACATCAGGCTCTTAGCACAGACTGTTCAACTAAAAATAAATAGATAAACAGCAAGCAGCAGCAAAATATGGACACTATGCCATGACGTATTAAAACATGCAAAGCAATGCTTTTCATTCTCTGTGTGTGCCCCTGACTTCATAGGGAAAAGTTGGGGAAAACAACGTCTAACTGAAAACAAGCAATACTTATATCTGGTGATTAGAGCACAGTGCTGATCTTCTCTTTCCTTTTTTCTTCTAAATCAAAAGCAAGGTTCCTATATATGACTCATGTTCTCAAAAATCAATTTAGGCGAAAAAGTAAATGGAGAATCCCCATGCTACTTCTCACCTCTAAACCCAATCTTTATTTTCACTATATGGTCTCTGTTAACTGTGTAGCATAGACACAAAGTTTTCCCAGGAAAAGGCTTCAAGATTTATTGAAGAGTAAACCCGATGCATAAAAATATTCTACTGTTACATAATATTTGGGGAAAAAGATAAACATCATAAATTTGGGGACTACTTCACCCACTATTCCTGTCACATGTCTTTCTTTCCTTTTCTTTTGTCTTCTGTTTTTAACTTTGAAATCTCATTGGAAAAAGTGATCCCCAAATCCCCTTTTGCTAATAAGTTTCAGTGTGAGCAGTACTTATAATTGGGTAGTTAGAGATCAAGACTCACTTTATAAGCACACACACACACACACACACACACACACACACACACACACACATACCTACTACCATAAATAAAAGTAGAAATTCTTCAAAAACAGAAAAACTATGTGAGTGTGTGTGTGAATACACACATACATATATAAATATATGTTTGATATAAAATAAAATCTTGCTGAAATACTCTCAATGCACCTTTAACAACTGCAGAAATGAACTCTCCTCTGAAATTAATGTAAGCAACTTTTTGATACATGAAGAACACTGACTTTAAGGTCAAATGCCACGGACATAAAGAAAGCAAACTTACTCAAGTTATGATTGTCCTTTTTTTGCCTCTCTTTAGCCAATGCTCTTGCTTCAGACTCTGTGGGGAAAATACACGCTGTGCACGTGAATGAAGTCATTAGAATCTGGAACTGTTTGAGGGACAATGTCAATCATAAAGCATCTCTTCTGAAGATTTGAAGCTTATCTTGTTGGACTCTAATGAAAACGACACTTTTCAAATTATAACTTCTACTTCCTCTAATGCTACATATACCAAATCTCTGCAAAGCTCAGTTTCTACAACTAGATGAAGTAAGTGGACAGCAAGCCACAGCAACCAAGTCTACATTTTAGTACTAAAAAGAATAAAAGCAATAGAAACTACTTGATGCCATATCATTTTTAAGATTTACTTATTTTAATTTTATGTGCATAAGTGTTTGCCTGTGTATATCATGTGTGTGCAATGCCCAAGGAAGCCAGTAGAGAGCATCAGATCCTCTGAGACTTGAATAACAAATGGTTGTGAGCCACCATGTGGGTGCTCTTAAACAGGGAGCCATCTCTCCAGCCCTTGAGAGCATATTCTCGGATTAGTAATTATTTTCAGGACAAGTAACTTTTCAGTACTTTTACGACTTTGTAACACAATGACATAAAAACTGAGGTGATGTTTCTGAATCTGTTCTCCGTGGCCTCTGACTAGATCATGAGAATGATGTGAGGCCAGGTTCTATCAGAATCTACTAGAACAGAATCATGTCATGATTCTTAAGAGTCACTATGTATGTTCTACTTGTTTATCTGTGGAAATATAAGTCAGGAAGGGTAGATGCATTTGGCGACAACTCCATTTAAAAAGTTGTATTTGAATAGCAACTTATGTGATATTTTGGTGTCAAGATTTTTTTTTTGCCTTGCAAGGAACAAATAAAACTATCAAATTGTGCTGTTTATTGATTCTAAGACTTACTATACCAAGTTAGTTTTCTTTCAAAAGTGACATTTGAAATAGTATGCTAAAGATGTAGCGCTTTACCACAAAATAGCAAGACTTAGAGCTTCTGAGGCAAATTTATTCACCACATTATACTGCATGTATACAGCATAAATATAAACACCCATGCCACCCTGCATTATAACAGAGTCCAAGAGAGGCTGCACAGAATGTAGATTAATTAATATTACATCACTTAATTATATTACAGCCTTCTTGGTCTATGCAAAGCCACTCTGTGAAGTTCATACCACAATAAGTCACCCTGTGACCTGTTTTCCAGAACATACTCTGGTCATCATGAAACTCCTAATTGCATATGCATGTACACATATGTATGTAGACAGAATTAAAATTAGAATCTCCTAAATTCAGATGGCCAATCCAAATCATTCTCTCTCTTTTTCTCACATAGAAAGATAAAAAGGTTTTACTTTCCATGGCTCCTTAACGATTTTTTTTTATGGTTTTGCTCTCGGAAAGTTTTTGTTTATTAATAAATTACCTTTAAACCCCAATGAATACTTTCTTAAAAAATGTTTTTCTTCTGTTAAAATTTTCTGAAATAGTGTTTGCAGTAATGCCTTTGGACAGGACAGGAATCTTTACAACAAATCCATATGCCATATTCTCACCCCGCCCCCAATTCTGCAAGAGGCAAAGAACTAAATAATAAAAAGGGATTTGGGGCAAGGACCATAAAATTCACCATGGTAGAATGCCAGTTCTAATATAGTTTCTGTCATGTTTTATTGGTCAAATGTCTTCCCTAAAGCATCAAACAAAGTGGCAAAATAGGTAATTTCACACTTGCCTCAAGAGCAAACATTCTGATGGCTCCATTTTATGATTTATTTCTCCTTCTATAATAAATCTCTTGCACATGATACAGTAAAAAGAGCGGGAGGCATCTAAAGATGTGAGAAATAAATTCTTCACTGGATTTCAAATGTGGGATTGAATGGAAAATTCAAAACAGGGTCCTCCAACTCACATCTTCAGGGGCTTGGCAAGCAAAATATACAGTGGGTAGGGGAGAGGCACTTTATGGGAGGTAGTACTGACTATCACCCCCAACCCAAAGGGCATGGCAGTCATGGACAAAGGCACTCAGCAAACACTGGAAACTGGCCTTCTAACATCTTAATACTGCATGTTAAATCACTGCACAACGTCTCAGGGACCACACACCAGCGGGCCAGGAACCATTGCTGTTACATCGATAATGCTGTCCAATGAGGTACAGAACGGAGTATCATGGTAAGAAGCATATGTGCTAGGTACATACCTGTGAGCTCCCTTTTTATGTTGGGGAGGTTGGCTGGACAAGAGTTGCTGATGGTCAGGCCCGGGGGTGGCAGGCCCTGGTTGCTGTACAGGTCAATCAAGTTTCCAGAGACAGGTAACTAGACACAAACAAACAAACAAAAAGCAATGAGCTGCTGAATGACTGCTGAATTTTTCCAATAAAACTCATGCCCTATTCCAGGCTTTGTATAAAGGACACTCTTTGCTATAAAGTGCTGTGTCTTAAAAACAGGAAAGTATGCACATTGACGCAGAATTATACAATCTGTATATACAGGGAGAAGAAAGGATGGCCTCGCACTGCGTGCTGTCCGGTGGGCGCATTCTAAGCACAGAGGCAAGTGTTACCTGCTACCAAAAGCGGCAGATGTCACATCGGCGCCGGCTATTCCTGTGAAAAAGGATTCTGTGCGCGACTTCCATCAAAGTATGTTTTCTTCCTCCCATCTTTCATGTCTCTCTACTTTTCACTCTTTTCTTTTATAAAGAAAAGCAACCGGCAAATGCTTCCTTTTTGTAAAGTGATGTCCTTATGGCAAAAGAAAGAGCTGGCTTCCTTGAGGTTGAAATTATTCAAAGAACCACAAGAGGGAGCCCAAAGACTTTAATAAAGAATTCACATGGCTAAGAAAAGTTTTAGCCGTACTAGCTTAGAAAAGGTGTGCCCGTACCAGCTTAACTATGAGTGGTATTGTCTCCTCAGGTTCTCCTGGGATGTTGCAAAGTAGCAAATTCATTTTCATTCTTTGTTGACAATGATGTCCCAGTTGGACAGGGATTTCCTCATAGCTAGTTGGAGACTATGTTTTCTTCTGCCCTGGAAAACTTCCTACACATTAGCTGTGCCGTCACAGACCCTTAGCATTTCCAGATGATTTCAAAGGATTCCTTGATAACTGCATCGGCAACACTTGGCCAATTAGCCTCTCCCTTACCTGATCATATACTCTCTGCTATACATTAGACAAGTAATTAAAACATGGAGGGACCCATTATACAGGATGAACTACCTTTACTTGAGAAGCTTGAAAAGATATTAGGATTTTTTTTAACCTTTTTATATTTTTATAATGTTTAAGTGCACATTTATCTTGGGTACAACATCCAGAGACAAACACAGATTTTATTTATGTTTCATTTATATCTTACACATATATACAAATTTTTTAGTTCCACAGCTTTCTTTACTGTGACCTATCTCATCCACTCAGGTATTGTATTCTACTTAAGGCATCAGGCTGACACTAAAAAAGTTTTGGATCGGGGGTCAAGAATTGCCTGGGTGGGTGAAGATGCTTGCCCAGCCTGACAACCTAAGTTCAATACCTGGAACTCACACGATTGAAGAAGAGAACTGACTTCCAAACTGACCTCTGACCTCCACACATGTGCTCTAGTCACACTCACCAACATACACTACATGAACATATGGATGGATGGATGGATGGATGGATGGATGGATGGATGGATGGGTGGATGAAAAACCAAATTTTTTAAAATGTGTTTTGGATCTGAGGGTTGGGAGATGGCTCAATGGAGAAAATGTTGCTGTTCAAGCATGAAGCCCCAAGTTTGCAGTCCCAACACCCACATAAAATCTAGGCACACGTCTTTCACCCCGGGCTGAAGTGGGAATGGCAAGAGAAGACTCCCCGAAGCTTACCAGCAGCCAGCCAGTCTAGAGCCTCAATGTCTCAAAAAACTAAGGTAGGGTAGCTAAGGAAGACTTCTGATGTTGGCCTCTGGCCTCCATACAGGCCTGAGCTAAAGCCCCGGCTAAAGAGATAGGGCTGGAGGGCACTGTACATAAAGCAAGCTACTGTCTGATATGTGTGCCAGTAGACTGTGGCCAGCCATCAGGCAGGACAGGCAGGGCAGGCAGGTGGGCAGGCCTAGAAGGCAGCACTTACAGATCTGCATAAACATGATACACACACCCACACCCTGCACACGTGCCAATGAACAGCATCATGCTAATTTAGAATGTCCTTGGGCCACATTTCAAGGCCCTCCAGCCAAGGCTCTGATAAAAGGTGACTCTGATTATTAGCAGTCATAGCTCTGAGTGGTTCCATTGAGAAACAGGTCACCTCAGGGTCAACTATGCTCTCTGTGTGTTTGGTTTAGTTCTTGTCCAACTTAACACAAAGTGGGAGACATTTAGCATGTTTGCAGAGAGCACTGTAAAGGGCCAGAAAGATGAAACTGACAAAGCTACTAGAAACTGAAGGCTAAAATCATCTCCAAGTCCAAATGGTTTTTTGGGGGGACTTAATATCTGAACATTAATAAAACAAGTCAAGTTTTGAGGAACTTATGTCTGAGCATTGATAAACCAAGAACACAATTTAAAGATTAGAAACAATGAGCTGAAAGATTCATCCAGTGGCTCTAGAAATAGAAACCGTGTGTGCATTATGTCCTCACACGCACACTGGATAACAAACATGCACTTAGGTTATGACAATCATGAGTTAGGAACAAAGGAAAGACAGGCGTTAGGTAAAGCTGGTTCAAAAACAGGCATGGGGGCTCATATCTGTGATGCAGCCTTTGAGAAGTTAAGGAGGGAGGGTCAGGAATTCAAGGCTAGCAGGGGCTACATGAGATCCTGTTTCAAAAAAAAAAACAATCAAAACCAAATAAACTAACTGAAAGCAAGCCTCTAGGTGATCAGAGATTGTTCATTGAAGAAAAGAGGAAGGGAAGAGAGAGAAAAGAGGGAAGGAAGGAATGAACGGGAAGAGAGAAGAGAAAAACCACAGGAATGGAAAGGAGGGGAAGAAAAAGGAGGTGAGGAAAAAAAAACAAAATTCTGTAGTTCACTATCTGGGGTAGAAAGATCCCCAACTAAAAGCAGTTAAGTCAAAACTGGGTCAAAATAACAGTCCTGGACTAAGAGAGGAAGAGACGAATGTTTATTTGGCTGGTCGGCATCTTTCCTGGGCTTTCTACAAAGAGCGTTCACCTGCTGGACAAGATTTCACTTCCACACACAAGGGAAGTGTGGCCCCAGAGAGTCATGGTCTGACCAGCGCAGGTGAGGACAAGGTGAGGCTGCTGCTGCCTTTGCTTCTGCCCTGGTCTGAACGGAGCGCACTGGCGCCTCTCACCACCAAAAGGAATATTCTCCCAAGTAAGTGATCGCTGTCAAATGTTATTGTTTTTCTCTGTGGATGGGCCCCATCTCTATCTCTGAATATCAATTGTGCAGTTAACACATGAAAACAGACTTTTATTCTTTGTTTGCGAGAGCACAAGAGGGCCTTGTGCCCTTGGAACAGTTATTTCTAGACCTCAGTTCCCTCAGGATAGCTCCCTCTCTAAGCATTCCTTCCACTTTTTTAAAGAAGTCGTTAACTTGAAACAAAGCATCTCAAAGAATCAAATGAGCAGGAAAAAAATGCCCATACTGCTAATCATTCACATTAACCTTAACTCTGGTGGGAAAAAGTTAAAATGGAGCAGGTTGCAGTTGTTCAGCTATTCGACTTAGACAACTGAACCCAAGAGGATGAAGGACGAGTGGTGGTCCCCACTATGACTGGGAGCCTGTTTGTGTTAGGCTACTTCTTGTGGATGAAATTTTAAAGTTCTCACATCAATGCAAACATCTCAATTGCATTGGTGCACCATTTTACAGACAAGGAAACTGAGGCAGAGAAGTCAAATGCCTCACTCAAGAGTGTATGTAACCCAACCCAAGGGCTCGGGTTACAGCTCAGCGTAGGACAACTTGAACAGCATGCATGAGGTCTGGGGTTTGACACCCAGCATGGCAAAAAAATAAAAGGCAGCCTACATTCAGAGTCTGTTTCTAACATCCCCATAAGGTGGTCTTTCTCCTTGCAGAGAGTTATGTCAGGGCAAGATACCCTCGAGGTGACACTGTGCCTGTTCTAGCCTGTGACACAGAAGAGAAGTGAATATGGCAATATGGCCACTGAATCCTGAGGGCAGCTTCAGGACACTATCCCCTGGCTGGGTATGAATTCACCACTTCCTGTGGAAGATTGCTCTCTGGCCACTTTACGCCTCAACTGTCCAGTTCCACTTACAGAGAGGCATGGTTACCTCTTCCAGGTCATGAGCTCAAGGATAGAAACCTTCCCTTTGCAGCTCCTGTACCTTGCCCAGGATGCATTATTGTTGAACTGAGAATTGAACCTAAGGCCTTATACATCCTAGGCAAGCGCTCTACCACTAGCTATGACCAGGTCCCCTGGATCCATGTAGATAGATGCTGTCAACTTTGGGAAAAGTTCTCAGGAACAAGACTCAGTGTCTGCTGTGGAATAATCCTTCTGTACACTGTGAATATGTATTACTCTCATTGGTTAATAAAGAAGCTGAATGGCCTATAGCAAGGCAGGATAAAGTTAGGCAGGACAACCAAACTGAGGATGCTGGGATGAAGAGGGGTGGAGTGGAGTAAGAGAGTTGTAGGCAGATGCAAAGAGAACAAGATGGGCACACCGTGCCGAGAAAGGGTACCAAGCCACGTGGCAAAGCATTGATAAGAAATATGAGTTAATTTAAGTGTAGAAGTTAGCTAGTAATACGACTGAGCTATCGACCAAGCATTTGTAATTAATATTGAGTCTATGTGTCTGTTATTTGGGAGCAGGTGGATGGGATGGGAAAATTCCACCTACAAGTGTCAATGCAGATAGAGAAGGCACTGTATGTGTTCTATTCTATAGAAGTGCATAGAGTCATAATTAACTGTCTTTAGAAGAACTGGCAAGTACAGTTTAGCTGGAAGCAAGCTGGGACCAGTGCTAATGTGCAATTCACTGTGAGGTGCACCATGATTATTAAGTAAAGTTTTTCTAACAAGGAGTTTGGCACCTTGTTGAGCCTTAAGGAACATCAGCTGACCAAACCAACACTATCAAAAGTATTTGATCTTGCAACTAACAAATTACAAGGAATAATTTAGACAATAGAGTTGAATGCAGCTTCTATTTCCAAAGCTAAATGCTAATTATACTTTATCAGGTAAGAAGGTAAATGAGTTAGGGATAATGAATAGCTCCCCCTTTCTTCCAGATGTGGAAACAAAGGACTGTAGGAAAGTATGCAAGCTCACAGAGTAAGAACACACTTGGGATTTGAACTCAGGTCTGGTTATACTTCTCCAGTTCCCAACCACTGTGTTTAACTGCTTCCTTCAAGAGCTGGTACATATCCTTTATTTGAGGTGTCCAAGAAGCAGGGTTTTCAACATTTTGTATGAATTTGAATAATACTCAAGAGGAAGTTGGTGCACTGAGTACTGGTTTGGATCCAATGACTTCAAAGGTTCCCATCATTGCAAAACTTATTTAAAAATTGATGATATTATGAAATAAGTCATTTCACAGTCCTTTTGAGTGTGCCCAGATATGTATTTATCTACCTGGAAAAAATGGCCAATTCCTCAGCAAAATCCTTTTGAGATGACCATGCCATTGAAGCTCCACTGTGAATATTGCCCACGTCTTTGAATCTATTTGTAAATTCCCTAGTGGAAGCTCCATGTAGTGTCTTGTTCATGTTCATCCCGGGATTCTGGCTACTGACAAAGTGTGCATCTAATCGGACCTAAGAGCGTGAGAGGTAAGGGTTCCACGGCAGTCAAAGGACATAGGGGGAGCTTGGCACAGGCACCTTGACCAGAATTGAAGATCTTCAAAAATCAGAGTGAGGGGCTGGAGAGTTGGCACAGTGGATGAAACACCTACCACCTACGCAGAACTATATGAGTTCCTAACACCCACATGAAAAGCCATGTGTGTGGCAATTAGCTTGAAATCCCAGCAGTTGATCAGGAGGCTGAGACAAAGGATCTCCAGGGCAAGCTGGCTAGCAAGTCCAATCAAATCAGTGAGCTCCAGGTTCAGTGAGAAACCCTGCCTCAGCAAATGAAGAAGCGAGAAACTGAGGGAGACACTCAGTGCCAACCTCGGGCCTCCATGTGTGCACACAAACCACATGTGTGTGTACCAGGGCACACGTGAACACACAGTTACACAGCCACACATACCACACACGCAAAAATAATTACAAACTGAGTTGACGTGGGTTGGAAAGAGACACTAGATCTTTAAGGAGAAGTTTTGAGATTGCAGGGGACATTCTCACTTCACAGGGAGCTCAAAGCCTCAAAGCCAACTTGGACAAGATCAAAAAGAAATTGCTACGTACTAAAAAACAAAAGAAAATTCAGTTAACTGAATTTTTGTGTTGCTAACTAAACAGGGGCTATCTTGTTCCTGGATGAGGGCATTTACTAATAGAAGTTAGCATCTTTTGAAACAATGTTTACTGTGTTCAAAAAAATTCACACAGTGCAAAAAGTCACCGTTTTTGAGCACACAGTCTGTGTTACACATATTCATATACTCCTTGAAATGGTAGTTTCCTCTTGAAAATCAGACTCCAGACCCACTCAATTACTGCATATACACCTATGTATACATGTGTACCCATACAAATACACACACGCACGCATGCATGCATGCACCCAGGGAGAGAGAGAACACCTGGGGATATGGATCAATGGCAGATCACTGGCATTGCATTTGTGAGACCCTACGTTCAATTCTCAGCACTGAAATAGAGAAATACAAAATAAACAGAAACAAGGAGAATTTTCACTCCTGGACCCAGAGCTTAATCAAAGTGCTCCTGATAAACTTGAGCAAGCTTCTTAACTTCTGAAGTCAAAATTTCCTACTCGTGAATATTTTCCCATTTTTATTACCACTAAAGTTCTCAAAAAGTCTGTGTGAAAATAAAATGAGTTGAGGAAAAGGATGTGGACAGAGAACAACCTTAAGATTTTCTTGGAAAGCAAAACAAAAAGGCCATCGATACCGTATTTGCCATTTGCAAGGCCGGATCCATCAAGCCCAAGATTTCTTCATTATAACTTGATTCCAGGCTGATGATATCATCAATTACATCATCCATCTGTAGAGAAAAGAGCCACAGAAGAGAGACAGGAATGAGAAACAGGTGCAAGGCCAACCCCAGAAGGACCTTTTTGGTAATTTCTTACCTAAAGCAACAGTGATCTTTAGTTAGTCTAAGAAGTAACTGTTCTTTCCCCCACCAAAATCAAAATATTACCTAAACCCACTGACACAAGTGGGTGATAGAAACTTCACTGAGAGCTAACGTTTCAGCCATTACTAGACATCAAGAGCTGGGCTTGGGCATTTCCTCGGAGTATATTTTTTACTTGGATAATCACCCTGAGGGGTAGGGGTCTCTAACAGGGCAGCTGTTGTCCAGGTGAGATAATAAGCAGCAGCCTGTTTAGGGTCCCACTGCAAGCAGAGCCAGGGTGTGATTTAACCTAAGTGTCCACCACTGTGTTGGACTGCTTGCCCTTTACACGAAAAGATGAGCCAGGAAACCCCCCTTACCCGAAGGCCACCACTTCCCTCTTCCTTTCCCACAGCCTTCTAGGAGAAGGAAAATACAACGGGTTCTCAGCCCCTGCTTTCCACAGCCCCCCCCCCCCCCCCCCCCCCCCCGGCCACTGGCTGGCCCTGCAAGGATTGTAGAGTGATTTGTAAAGCAAGCACCTCTTGGTACAGCTGCCAGTGAGCCTGGTGCTCCCGGAGGAGAGCACCAGGACGAGGTTATCATTACAGTCGTGGAGCTGACATTCCCACTAGATCAATTTTATTGCTGAAGTACCAAAACATCAGTGAGCATCATAAACAACAGTGATTACATGTGCATTGCAGCAGTGGCGGAGTCTGTGGAAACATTTCCTTGTAAACACCTTCTGTGTGGTAGCTGGCTGATGTCTGTGTGCCTGGGTCTGAACAGGGCTGCACGGTTCACAGTGAAATCTAAGACCGGCCGGGGCATGCCTGTGTTCCTGCGCTCACTCCTCTCATTAAAGAGGTGAGGCTCCAGCATCATGAGGCTTGCGTTCAAATTTTCTTGTCCCCTCTTCCTGAATAAAGGGCAAAGCCTCCAGAAGTCTGCACAAGTCTCAGGGTGCCAATCTACCAAATGGGGACAATAATGTATACTGTCTCACTGGGGACTGATGAGATTTCAGGAATGCAGGAAACATCTAAAGATGTCTTACAAAGTAATTTCGCTGAAGAATGACCGATAGTCAAATCGGAATAGATGCCAGCATACAGTGTGTTAGTTTCCATTCTAGGCATACCAACTTTATTTACTTGTAATAGATGGCATTAGGACTAAGTTGGTGAATAGGAAAATAGGTTGAGGACTTATACACAACTTTTCTTTATACATTTTGACTTTAGTTTTAGGAAGGAAAATTAGTGTCCTTAATGTATCATTAAAACATTCTATGCTCTATTACATGTAAAAAAGCAAAAAATATTTTGTGGCTTACATTATATTTTCTCTTGTATATCTGAATAAGCACATAAATACATAAATAAATGGTGCCATTTATTCACTAAATAGAATTTACATAATGAGCTTCAATTGCTTGGGGAAGTGCTAATTAGCTATTACTAACTTAATAAAGCTTCATAATATATGGAGCAGGAGGTTCCATTCATAAAAGCAACAAAGAGATCGACACAGCTTGGTTTCAAGAATATGTTTCAGAAGCCGGTATAATGCAACACAACAATGTGCTGGTAACTTATGCAAATTAACTAAATCACCGTGCATTTTATTCACAACAATCGGTGTATTTTACCCTCTCCTTATGACTGCAGGCAACTTAAGAGGCACACACATTTAATCTTCTTAGTTGTTACTTGGTCATTCATGAGCTACTATGAAGAAAATGGGTCTGTTCATAGCTTTTTCTATTTAAAAAAAAATCAATGAGAGGAAAAGAGGCCCTGAAGTCATCATGAGGTGTGATCATTCACAAATATAGATTCTCATTATGAAGTGTTACATCCTCAGCCTGCAGAGTCATTCAGTACCTGCATGCACGACGCTCGAGAGTGCGCGTTCATACCTGGGCACTCGCTCTCTGCCCTGCTCTGCTCTTCAAACTTATAAAAGGCCTGCAGAAACACAAGCAAAGACAGCCCATGACGAGGGTTTGCAAATGCCTTTTCAACAACACATTCACAGGAGGTTAGTGGCATGGCGACGACATGGACAGGGCTTTCAAACAAGTAGATTCTTCCCCAGGAACAGAACGATGGATGGGAACTTGGGTCAAAGCACATGACAGATATGGGTGGATAAAACGTGTTTGGCTTGGGCAGAGGAAAAGACTTCTTAGTCCCTCCAGAAACTCAAATCAACCAAACGTTACATAATAGTCACTTTTGAACTCACATAAACACTTAAATGTATAATAAAACTCTACTAAAATGAGACATACTCTTGTAATTTAGAAATAACAGGCACCCAATCACAGCAGTGCCCCCCTGGTATTTTTATGCTCCAAATTTTGATGCAAAAATTAGCTTGAGGGTTTGAGTCTTGTCTCCAACCCAGTCTTTACCAAGACGGATTTACTCGGCAACAATTCCTTACAGGATTACCTGGATGTTGCAATAAGCCTTGCTTTTCCTCAGGTGCCATACTGTTTAAATCCACCCATACATGTTCCATGTTTTTTCTTTCTCCAACTCCGTGAAAAATAAAAATAATACCCCAGACATTCACAGCAGGCAGAACTTCTGAGCCTCCTGCCCCACACCTTTTCTATTTTTGCTTTCCCTTTCCACCTCCCCTTCTCCTCTCTGCATTTTCACTGCTTCACAAGTCGGAAGGCATAGAAAGGACGAGAACACTCATCTAAGGAAGGAGATGGGAGTTAAGGAAGCATCGGCTCCTCACCTCCACGTTCTGCTTAGAGCCAGCCAGGTCTCCTGCCGTGTACAGTAAACCCAGTAACCTAGTGCTAGTGACAGGAGGCTGGAATGTAAATGGCCACACCAGTAAATATGGGACAGAGGCCAGTGACTATGACCAGGTGGACAAAAGACAGTCCATCGCTAAAGGGGAGAGGAATACCCCAGAGACAGTTAATGGAGCGTAAGAAACAGAGGAGAAGAGGAGACGTGAATTACCTCTTTTTCACAGTTGGAGTTAAGAGTGAGCATAGCCATGGGGCTGTTGGGTGCGCTGCTCCCCGGCACTGGTGGCATGGCATGGTCGCCAGGCTGGTTTGGACATGGCGAGCTCAGGACTTGGCTGGCATGTTTATTTGCTAAAGTGGTAGAAAGGTACTGCTTTACCTGGTGCCTCTGGGCTTGCTGTATGTGGTACTTGGTGGGGTTTTCCAGGTGGGTCTGCACCTGAGCATGGCCATGAAGGGAAGAGAAGATAGCAGTGTTATCCTGGGGTTGCAAACAGCTCTTTCTGTAGCACATACACCGTGAGGCTGACCAGTCCACTAACAGAACAGATTGTCAATCTCTTGTAAGATACCGGGCACTGTGCTAAAGGATTTTGAAAGGACTGAAGTTAAGAATCTACCTTACAGGATTTAGAACTCTTAGGAGATGATAACTATCCTGATTGACTTCCATAATTAACAGTACATCTCCTTCAATCCTAGTGCCCTTCTTGTCATGGCTAATTGTTAAAATTTCAAAGTATCTATGAGTCAAGAATCTCCCCCAACACACCAGAAAGGATTTAGTAAAAATCAAAATAACAAGCTTGAAAATGCACAATTCAGTTTATCTCACTTTCCTTGGCAAATAGAACAGCTTTCTGTTAAAACACATGTGCATGCATGTACCCCCCATACACACAAGCACACACACCCCCAACCCCCCAAAAAACTACACGCGCACACACACACACACACACACACACACACACACACACACACACACACATACACACACACACACAAAAACCACACACATACACTCACAGGCACACACACACACACACACACACACCAACCCCCCCTACAACCACACACAAAAAAAACCCATACATATACACTCACAGATACACAGACACACATACATACACACACAAACACACACAGAAGCCTTTAACTGTGAAATGGTTATAGAAGATAATCGGAAACATTGCCTTGTTTAAATCAAGGAGTTATAGGTTAATTCCTTTTATACAAGAATACAATTATTCAGGATTCTAATCATGAACGGGCTCATGGAAAAAGCAGTCCCACCTGAAACAACTACCTTCAAATACATAACACTTGCATGTACGTGTCTTTAAAGGCATGACTAGTTGTGAGCCAACAAGGTATCTATTGTCCTCTTCCACAGACATCAACAGGGAGTTAGAAATGCTTTTTTTTTTTTAAATAAACAAAATCAGTGACATTCCATTTAAAGTTACTTTTCACTGACAAACACAATTTAATCTTATACACTCTCCACAAGAGCTGGTGGAGAGAATGTGGCCACCTGCTAGGGAAACAAATCCAACGGTGATTCCCTGTGTCTAAAACTATACTAAATTACTTCTTAGGGCATCAGAAAAGAAACAGCATTAAAGAAGCAGATTGGTTCTTACTGCAAATAGGGTAAAAAGTGAAATAACATTAAAGAGACGAATTAGCCATTTATACCCTTGCCCTTCAGGCTCCGGGGGTGGATAAGAACGAAAGCTCACCTGGTAGTGACTGTACTCTAGCATTTCCAGCATAGCAACGTCTCAGGCGGCCCCACACCAAGGAGACAGGCCAGACTACTTTTTTCTCCTCCCTCTGCTTTCTGTAATTCCCATTCGAAGAGCGACTGGCCTAGAGAAGGCACCATAAACAAGGCATCCCGAGCCACGGCCGGAAACATTATCACAGCAGCACAGCTTATAATAACCCAAGCTAATTAGTTATGCGTGTAAAAAAAAAAAAAGCTGTTCTCTCAGTTCTCTCACAGGGGACTTTTTTTTTTTTTAATTCCTACTAGTTTGGGCTTAAATATTGATATCAGTTTTCCCCCTGGCTTGACGTCATGCTTTTTTTCATAGATATAAAAGAATCTTTTTAAAGGATGAGCTATCAAAGTCAAGCTTACTGTCAGATCAAGGCCGATTCACCATTCATCTTTCGTTCCAGTAGTATTAATGGACAATGGTGTTTCTCTTTCAGCAATAGGTTAAGAGCTGGATGCCCCCTTCAGAGCAGACATTGCCTAAAAGCTACCGTCACACATGAGACTTCCCTAACGGCCAAATAATGACGCCGTGTATGACAGCCAGGAGGTGGGCTTTTAGCATGGAAGACACTCTCCAACTCTGGCTTTATCTTGCACCCCGGTCTCAATGGACAGCTTATTTTGAACTAGGTAGATGTGAAACCTGCCTCCTGACCTCCAGGCAGCAAGCAGGGGAGCTATTCTGTGCAACAGAGAGAGAGAGAGAGAGAGAGAGAGAGAGAGAGAGAATGAGACAGACAGACAAAGACAGAGACTTGGGTTTATACTCACATAGAAAGAAAACAAACAAACAAAAACCGCCTTTGTCAGCTAACCCTCAAACTAGGAAGCATGGAGATTCTTACCGGAAACTGTGATACAACCCATGGAGCAAGAAGAGAATAAATCATCATGACCCATAGTTGATGCATTTTTGGTCTTTCCATCTGTCCATTCCATTATCTACTGTTATTATATGCTAAACATGTAAATCATAGGACATTCACCATGAGCAATCAGAATAGAGATATGATTTCTATGAAACAATTTACTCTCCAGGGTGAAGCAAAAGGAGAAAAGAGACAGATCTATATTTAGAAATTGGGGTAAATGCTGCTTACTGTTGAAATGGGGTGATAGTATTTTAAACATAAATATTTGCAATCCTTTCCATTTATTCCAAACGCTGTGGCCACAGAAGTACTTTTGGCTGACCATCTCGAACCTGTCTGACGCTGCACGCTGAGGTTCACAGGCATTTCCAGTTTTGTAAAAGGGTCCAGACACGATAATGATGAGGACAATAGACGGTACCAAAATAAACACGAAATGAGGGCAGTGAGCGGAATGTGCTTATTTCACTACTCCCCTTAAAAAAGAGACTGGGCTGCACATTTAAAAATAAGCATTAATTCACTGGCAGAGCTGCTTTCTTTAATGAATCAGAATGTGATGCTTTAGTAAGGAAGGGACTCTCTAGCCGGCACTTCCAGGGGCCTTTACTACACTCAAGTTTGGAAGCAGAGTGAAATTTTCCTTTGCAACATTTCTATCAGTTCATTTGGATTTTCAAGTAAGTTAAGACGGCAGAGCTCGGGAGATGGCTCAGTGAGTCCAGTGTCTGCTGCTCAAGCGTGAGGAGCTGAGTTCAATCCCTAGAAGCCACATAAAATAGCAAGGTGCCACTTGTAAGCCCAACAGCACTGCAGGCGTGAAGGCAGACAGGTCCTGGGACTCACTGGCCAGCCAGGCTACCCAAATGGGCTGCAGTGAGAGTCCGGGCCTAGATAAAAATGGTGGATAGTGACTGAGGGAGGGCCTCAGGCACACACAGCAGGGGCTGAGGGAGCAGGAGAGACAGCCTGACAATGCGAAGCTGCAGACAGAGCACCAGCAGGTATTCCCAACCGAGACACCACACACAGGTGAAGGACACAGCTGTGGATAAGGTCATAGGGAACAGCGAGGTCTGAGGACACTGGAAGCCACTCACTTCTAAAAGAAGCAGAAACAGCAGATTTAGGCTGCAGCTGACCTGCTCTATGGGTACACCTATCTATACAGCTTAGTCACCCAAATTTTCAAGGGTGGCTAATGGTGTTAAATTTTTGAAGTGAAATATTTTAAATTAAAAACAAAAAATCAGTGTTCTCTCTTTCTTTCTTCCTTTCTTTCTTTCTTTTGTTTTTGTTTTTTTCAAGACAGGCTTTCTCTGTGTTGTTTTGGTTCCTGTCCTGGATCTCACTCTGTAGACCAGTCTGGCCTTGAACTCACAGAGATCTGCCTGGCTCTGCCTCCCGAGTGCTGGGATTAAAGGCGTGCGCCGCCACCACCCAGCTCAGTGTTCTATTCTTCATGTACCACAAGACAAAGTAGGTACATTGGGAGTGGACCAAGGCAGCAAACCACAGGGGTGTGTTTTCTGTCTCCGTGTCTCTGGACAGGATCTTACAGGCATGCCCTGGAGGATGGTTCGGTTCAGAGAAGTTGTTCTTCTGAGAAGTTAGTGCTCAAATCTCAGTGTTTCCTGGAAATTCCCTGAGAGGCTGGGTGCCTGATCACGTGGTGAGAAAAGGAGCCGAGGACCGGATATCCAGGCTCAGACTCTGACAGCACCAATGACTAAGCAAGCCCTTAACTTCTCCAGACCTTCGAGTCCTCATGTACAAATGTGGATGATAAGGGCTTATTACAACCTGTTTTCAGTGTCAGACAAAAGCCCATCAAATATCAGAAACAGCAGTCCCCAAAGCTTTTTGTCATGGGGGCCTTAAGCTCTTCCAAATTGCTGTGTTTCCATGAATTCTATCAATATTCACCAGCTTAGCATGAAAATGGGAAGCTTTTGAAAACAGAAGGTCACATGCTAGCATAGCAATGACGACTTCCTGAGATACTACATACTTCTATACCATTGGGAGGAGTGTGTGTGTGTGTGGGGGGGGGGGTTTCTTAGTATTAGTATAAAATTAGTTTTCATCTTGTGGAAACACTTTGAGGGTCCTGGAGAGTCCTGATCACACTGGGTTGCACGCCACTGTGAACAGATCTAACCTCTGTGTGTCCGGCTCTTCTCATCCTGCATCACTGATGTAGAACATGGTTACTCTAGCATCATCCCAGCTGGGTTGCACACCACTGTGAACAGGTCTAACCTCTGTGTACCCGGCTCTTCTCATCCTGAAGATGCTGGGGAAAGATCCTACTCTGTTCTCACTCCTTTATACCATCCTTAGGAGGCTCTATAGGCCTTAAAGTAAAAGCCCGAGTAAAGAAAATGTGGTGCAAAAATTGAGTGCTTCTGAGCATTTGAAGTCCAAATCACAAGGTAAGACTATGATATTCTAAACTTTTACCACAATACAGTATACACTGACATCATTTACATTTCATATTAGCTGTCCACATGAACATCCATGGGATCTCAATTGTCTTGGTTCTGGTTCCTCTCCTGCTGCCCTGTCTTCATTAAGATCCTGAACTGCTTGCAGAGCTGGAATGGATGCCTTCCTGACCATCACAGGGTAGCTCTGCCACTCCCTGGTGACACTGGCAGGCTATTTACCTTCATTCAGCCATGACTGGTCAATGCAAGATGGCGGCCACAGATACCACCATGCTAGCTAACTAAAGAACTCACTGGGGCACATACATCTCATCTGACCCATCATGGCTTCTCTTCCCCTCCCCCTTTGCTATTCTGAATTTGAACAAATCCACTGAAAATTCCCACAATCCTTTCAGTTTATAGTTGATTTTATTTTTGTTTGGAAAGGCAACAAAATATTAAGGTTTTGTTTTCTCAAGTTTGGGGAGGGAATTTATTCTTGTGTTCAGCAAATTATAAAGAGCTATCAGAAGGATTGTCATCCGGTCACTTGTTATTCATCACACCCTCTATTATCATTCTGCTCATACTGGTTTTTACATGGAAATTTATTAGGGTGGCCAATGTGCCACCCTTATATGCCTACGCAGTAACAAGGAAGGAGGCCATGGAAGTATACAGGTAGCTTTCTGTGTTTCTCTGTAGGCAGCTGGAATCAGAGCAATGGGGTATAACTGTATACACAAAGAATGAAGAACTTTTTTTCCCTAAAATTCTAATGTTATAATAAATAATATACAGCTTTTTTTTAAAAAAAAAAATCCTAGTAAGCCTGTTTTCCCTAGCTAAGGACCTATAAAACAATGTACCTATTATGAAGTAAGAGGGATGAATGCTTTGGTTTTAGGATAAACAGTATTTAGAAACCTCATAAAAATGTATTTTGGGACTGGAGAGATTGCTCAGTGGTTAAGAGCACTGGCTGCTCTTCTAGAGGACCTGGGGTCGATTCCCAGCACCCTCATGGCCACTCACAATCTTCCATAACTCCAGTCCCTGGGGATCCAATGCCCTCTTCAGCCTTCTCAGGCATTGCATGCACAGACATACATACAGGCAAAACACTCACAAATAAAAATAAGGGTTAAAATTTTAAGCATTATTATATTAACATTTTGATATATTCATTGCTTCAGTTGTTACATGAGTGTTATTAAATACCAATATATTTTAAAATATAGAAAAATGAAGTTGTGTGCATTCATTCACAAATGTCTCTCATGTGCTCAACAGTGTACCAAAATGTATTTTATAATCTATCCTGGAGTGAGTCAATTCAAATCACGTTTCATAAAGAAGCCACTTGAATGATACTACAACAGAGCCTTCAAGGTTTCTACATACACTTCTGTTTTTCAGTTGATGGAACAGGTTAGAAAGACAGGAAGGATAAAGGGAACGTGGAAAGTAGCATCCACTCTAGGATCTGGTTTATGTTTCTCGGTGGCTGAGTAAAGAGGTTAAGCAATGGAAGGCTGCATGTCCATGAGTACATGGGCAGCACAAATTGGACTTAATGACTTCAATAAGAAAATAAAAAGGGACACAAAGCTGGGTTGGCGGGAAGGGTGTGGTGTCCCTGGAGGAGTTAGGCGGTGAGTATGATCAAAATACGTTGGATGAATTCCTAAAGCACTAAGAAAATAAGCAGGAGGGAAAGAGTTTCAGCAGGCTGATAACATCAGTGCTGCTACGAAGATTGCAAGCAGAGACAATGATCCTCTTCTGAGAGGTCCTTCCAAGAGAGCTGGAACAGCTAAGAGCCACGCTTGAGGAAAAAAACATACGTGACTTTTGAGTTTGGCCTTATCAGCGATGACTCTCTCATCCCTAAAGCTGAACACCTCAGACACCACGTTAACAGTTCCATTATAGGAGAGATACTGCAAGAGAAACACGTAGCCCAGCTTATGTTTTCAACTCCATTTAAGAAGTTAGCTTAATCATTGAATCCAGTTGCAAATTATACCCTTTGGATGATGTAATTTCAATGGCTAAAATACCACAATACGGCTACTAAGATACACAACCGCCCCCCAACACACACACATGTGCTTTTAAATCCACAGCCCACGCTACCTCTTTGTAAACCCCTGTTTTGCTTCACAGCAACTCTTTCTGAAATTGATTTGGGGTAAGAAGTCAAGGTTCTGGTCTCCTCTGAGTAGAAAACCTTTGGGGAAACTCCCCAGGCTACAGCCAGCAATACTGGGCTGAGTCTCTTTTGCGCCTGGCAACACAAAGACCATTTCTGAATGAATACCCAAAACAACTCTTAAAGAGATCTGCTTTTGATAGTTTTAGCACCTTTGTTTAAAAGGTTGTTGCCATCGACAGATACTCATTTATCTGCCTGCCATACTAGATAACTAAATACAAGACTATGCACGTGCAGATCACTGAGGGACGCTGTTGAACGCAGAGTGTGAATCCATAGGGGTGGGGTAAAATATGTCTAAAAGCAATCTGTATTCCCAACAAGCTTCCAACAAACGCGGATATAGTTGGTGCAGGGAAAACACTACATCCTGATCTGATCATAAGACTTCAGTGTTTTCACTGAAACTCTTGCTTCCATCAAAAAGTTGTATGTCCTCTATTCATCCAACAAATAACTGCTTTTGTCCCAGCTAAGAACCAGAAAACTAAGCCTTCAGAAGTTATTTAAGAAAGGGACCCAGAGAGACTGTGAGGTTTAAATGCAGGTCTGAAGTTGGTAAGTACTGGCCTATCAGCAGAAGGAGCCACCCAGGCAAGGACAGAAGCCCCAGGTGTGAACAAGCCTTGCATGATGCAGCCACAGCAAGAAGGCTTAGTTCACATTCTTTATTTGGTGCCCAATTCACCACAATCAGTGGGCCTTCTCTCCTCCATCATGACTTCTGAGCCGGTTTTGCTGGTTTCTCATATTCCTCATCTTATCTACAAAGGCTCAAGCTTGATTGCTACTATCTACACTCAGCCCTAGTGATACAAGTCAGTCTTGTGATTATAAAGCCCCATCACAGACCCCTCTGACTACTGGACTCATCTCTACCTGTCTATAAAACTGTCTACACAGCAAACAGTCCACAGTTAGCATGCTCACCAAGTCAGCCCATCCATTTCAATAGTGGGGATGTTGAAACATATGAAACCTGCTACTGTTACTGCTACTGCTGCGGGTGGTGGTGGTGGTGGTGGTGGTGGTGGTGGTGGTGGTGGTGGTGTGTGTGTGTGTGTGTGTGTGTGTGTGTGTGTGTGTGTGTGTGTTGTACTAGGGCTGAACCTAGACCCTTTCTCATGCTAGACAAACATCACTGAGTTACACCTAGCCCTTTTCTGGTTTTGTTATAGACAGGATCTCAGTAAGCTGCTTTGGTTGTCCTTGAATTCACTCCATAGCCTGGTAAGCCTTGAACTTGGAGTCTTCCTGCTTCAGCTTCCTGAGCATCTGGGGTTACAGGCAAGTATGTGCCACTAAGACTTTATGGGAATTACTGTTTTTTATAGGTCAAAATAATCTTCATATTATAAACAACTTGATCAACTTTGATTACTTCCTTTCCCATGTATCATGTTCACAGCTCATGAACAGTTACTGTCCATCACTATTAGTTAAATCAAAATTTAACTAAGTTTTACCTTCCACTGGGACTAACCAAAGCCATCCTCATTTGCCATATGGATGACTAAAAGTATCTCTTGGCTCTTCTACCTGCTTCTGACTTTGACCTTGTACAATACATATTCAATGGACATCAAATTACCCGATCTCATCTGCTAAATCAAATGGGTGGAACTTTCAAATGAAAAAGAAGATAAATCGACACTAAAACATACTATTAGGTGTAAAATGTCCCCACAGACTCATGAATTTGAACACTCAGTCCCCAAATGATGGTGCTGCTTTGAGAGGTTCTGAAACTTTGAGGGAAGGGGGTCATCAGAGGTGGGCCTTGAGGGTTAGAGCCGAGCCCTACTCCTTACTGTAACCGTAGGCTCCATGGTAACCCATGAGGCAACAAGCCCGGCCTGCACAGAGCTATCCAGCTGCCATGTGTTCCACTCTAGGAAATGTGAGCTCAAATCAACCTCTTTCCTCCCACGTTGATTCAGCCAGGTATTTCATCACAAAGATGATAAAAATAATGAACACACATACACATGATCTTAAGTTTAAGACACCCATTGGAGCATAAACTAGCAGGTGTGGATGGATTCATGCCCACCCTATTGATTACCATCCACTCCTGAGAGTAAGTTTTACTGGACACACTTGTCCTCTCATTTATGAATCGTCTATCACTGTTCGTGACAACAGAGTTAAGTAACATATCTAGTGCTCCACAGAAGCTAAAATACTTACCATCTGGCCCTTTGCAAAATACTTGCTAATGATGAATTTCTGATAACAAAACAGTTGCTCACAGATATCTAACAAGAGACATGGGTTAGATTAATAATGAGGGAGTGACCTAGTTTAGGCATGAACTTTGGTACTGCAGTGGAGTCAGATAGCTCTTGGCTGTGGAGGCTTATCTGTGCATTGCTATACACTCAGCAGCATCTCTGGCCTCCCCCATTACATGCCAGGAGACTCACACCTTAACCCCAACCCTAGGTGACATAACCAGTGATGTCCCCAGGAATTGTCAGAAGCTTCCCCGGGAAGGAATACAGCTGTCCCCATGGAGAACCAGGGCACAGAGATGGGTATTATGCAGTCATCAAGGTCCATATTTTATAGACCTGTGGAAGGACAGGGTAAAGTTCTTAACCTAAGTGAAAACACAATGTCAATTTCAACATGTTTTTATACATATGTGTGGGCAAAATTAAAACTGTTGACGAACCACTGAGCAAGCTTTAAAGTATCAATCTCTGGGTTACAATTATAGATGAGTAATGTTTTATTTATATTTCTTATTTTCTGTAATACATAAGGCACTAATTTTGTTATTTAACAATGATGAGTCCCACAAAAATGAAAGCCTAGAGATCTGCTAAATAAAAAACAGATTCAGACGGAATTCTTTTTTTGAAACTTTTGCAAATGAAAAGCCAAGCCAGGAAACTGTTGTTCGGCAATGAAAACTGCCTTGTTTCCTTCTTTTTTTTTTTTCTTGAAATATTTGATCAGATTAAACTGACTCTGTTATTTATAAAATTTCTAGTCTCACATTCAAGCACAGTTTACGTTTGTCTAATACTTGACACATTTTTCTGGTTTTGAAAAGGGCTGTGATTACGTGGTTCAATGGTGCCCTTATAATGGCCCATTGTGAAGACCAGCCAGCCTCCCCCTCCTTGGAGGAGTCACCGGGGCAGCTTCCCACGTGCCCCAACTTCTCTGTGTGCTCCAGTTTAGCACTGCCTCTGCATGGCAGACGTATTTCTGTCTTAATATTTTCTCTCAAACGAGCCCATTGTTCACAGTTTATCGGGTATTAGGACCGATTATAACCAGGCAGTCGAGCTCTGCCTCATAAGGACCCGCGCACTTAAAAAGCTGGCAGGAGTCAAGTTTGTCACAGAGGAAAACATTGCCTTGGGCCTAAGGAAAAGGTCAGCCAGCAAGCCCCCATCAGACATGAGAGCTGAATGCTTAAAGGTCAAGTCCACGTGAGCTAAAATCTGGCAAAGAGAGGCCGCAATGTAATGACACCAGCTTCAGGGTCCCTGTCATGAGACTCGGGGGTCTGTCTCCAGCGAGACCGAAAACCTGCTTTATATATTTTATATGGTAGTAAAACTTCATAAACAGCAGCAGCAGCCCCGGAGTGCCACCTGATGGTGCCAGGCACTGTGCCAGAGTCACCCCACCTAACTCACCTATTCACACCACTGAGGGATGGCCCCGTTGCATAGCAGTGGGAACCTCAGCTAAACAGCCTACCCTACAGAAACCATATTCAAACCGGGGGAGCAAGGGTGGACACAGAGGCCTTAAACCAAAAAGAACTGAGTGCCTCAGGCAGTGACAACTGTCACTCAAATACACACACACACACACACACACACACACACACACACACACTAAAGTAAAGGCTTGTGTGGGTGTGAGGTGACATTCTGGCTTAGAACCTGAAGGATGAGAAGCAGTGGGCTCTGGTGAGGCCCCCAAAGCAGTATCTAGAGTGTACAGTGGGAGGCAGCTACGCTCTGTGGAGGAAAGGTAATAAAAGCAGTAGTCACAAGGACAGTGGGGCTCAAAGGGACCAAGTCAGCGCTGCCCTAAGAGCTGGTCAGGGCAGATCGTGTCCAGGTCTGCGGCCCTGGAGGAACTGGGCACTTCTCTCCTACCGTTTACAAGACTCCTCTGGAAGGATTTTAACAGACACGTGAGCCTACCTGATGGCATTTGTTTTGGTTTGGGTGTTTGATACAAGTGTTCACTCTGTAGCCCAAGCTGGCCTCCAACTCATTATGAAGTTCAGGTTAGCCTTCAACTTGAAATGATCCTCCTGCCTCAGCCTCTTAAACATTATGATCACAGACATACTCTACCACTCCAGGGATAACCTTTTAAAAGCTCACTCAGGTGTTTGTGACAACAGGAAAAATGGACTCAGGGTGGCCATGCACCAGTTACCCGGGAGATTGTCGTGTTAAGACAGCTGGCTGTGAAATACATGTGGCTACAGCTTATCCTTGTTTCCTTCTGACTTGTAGCAAATCTAGTTTGAAAACGCCATCCGTACTCAATCAAGACCTTTTGGGTGCAAATAACTGAAATGTCTCATAACACTATACTACATGCTTCCCTGTTTAGGATACACAGCTAAGGCCCAATTGAAAGTGCATGATGGAGAGAGGCCATTTACAGTGTTAAATGTGAGGCTAGGTTTCGTAGAGATCTGAGTTCAAATTGTGGGCAGATAGCTTATAAGGTCTGGACCTCTGGTTTCTACGTGAACATGAATGGCAGACCCTACCTACTCAATAGACACAACTGTCATTGTTAGAGACGGCACACGTGCAAAGTATCTGGCACACAGCAAACACTCCAGGAGGAAATGAAAGTCTCTATTACTGTTTGTCTCGGGAGTTTTGCCTTGGTGTCTACACAGATGAGTCCACATATGGACCCCACTACAAGAAAATAAAAACTCCCGTAAGGAGAGATGGAGTCAAGACAGGAGAGGGCTGCATTCAACATCTTACAGGCATCATTTTCTCTGTATCTAACTCAAACACCACAAGAGAGGAAGGAGGGGTGAGATTGATGGGGCAAGAAGCTAGAGTCCACAGGATGCTCAAAGGGGAAGCGTCACCACACAGAAGCCTCTTGGGAAGTCTCTCTCCTCCATTTCTCAGTGAGCAGCCTTAGTCACTAGGGTTGAACTGGGCTTAAAGGAAACTAAACAACCATGAAAAGTGCATGCAAACTTTTAACTTGGTTTTTTTTTCTCAGGTGAGGCCTAACATGGGAAAATATTGAAAGAATGAGTAGGGTCTGACTCTGATGAAGCAGGGCTATGACAACTTACAGGGTCCCTTATACTACTCTGGGTGCTGCTAAGTCTTCTGCATCAGTAGATACTTATACTTCTGCACGGTATATGTATGTCTATGTGTTAGACAATTTCTTCTTGTTCATTTTCTGTTTTCTTGTTCCACGAAATGTCAACATGTATACTTAGTAGACACAGTCCATCCATTGCCCTGACATAAACATAAAAATATCTGCATGCAGCTTGCTATTACACACCTCAGCCTACATGCTTCTAAAAGAGCGTGGCCACAGGGGCCTAACTGCTCCGGGTTTGGTGACATCCCTGTAACTCCTCTGTCCTGATGAAACTCTGAGTGTCTGTTACAGAGGCATCTCATTAATAAATGAAATCAGTGGGGTTTGCCCCTAATGACCTTGCTGATCAGTCAGGAGAGCATGTCTCAGCCATAAAGAAAACATTTTTGAACACGTGTAGAGAGTACATAACTGAATTCATATTGACCTTTTCTGATCAAAGGAGTTCAAATTCAGAACTTCCTCTTTCAAGAAAAATGTCTAACAGTCTACATTTATGTCTTATGAAAGCTGCAATAGCCTAAAATGTAAGCTTTTATATATATATATATATATATATATATATATATATATATATATATATATATATATATATATATATATATATATAACTGGTAGAGCTTTTGTTTTTCTTTCATTACAA